TTTTTCATGTGTTCTAATGGGAGAATCCATGTAAGTAAACACCAGAGCATTTTTCTTTGGCAAAAACAAACTAATGCAAAACCAAAGGTATGCTTGCATGTCTTGTTGACAACTTGGGCCCTGATCTTGTCCCCTGAAATCTTCAGGCTATTTTGGTTGATATTTCTGTATGTTGAAATGCCCTCAGCCCACTGCCAGAGTCATCTGGATAAGGTATAGTTGTAAATATGAAGTAATGTACAGTTTTAACACAGATGCTAACAGAGCAGAGAGGGACCAATGATTGAAAGTGGCAATCAGAGAGGACAACACAATTTTTTCCCTTCATTTGAATGTGTCAAGGTCCTTAACTGCATTTTGAATTAGTTAATCCATGAGCTGTTAACCCAAATTTATGTCCTAAGTTTTTGGACAATAACCAACAGTGTAGATGTCTCCCAAGAGGAAGATTTATAGAAGAATACAGGTGCATAGTTTACTTCAGTGGTTGGCATGCATGCATTGTTTTTTTAATCTGGATTAAAGGCGGCTACATTCAGGTTGGCCTACATCATCTAATAAATGGAAACACGAGTGGGAATTGTTAACTAAGAAAAGTTTTTCAGTTGTCTTAAAATTTAAATACAGGGATACAGCTAGTATAATCCAAAAGTTTTCTTCATGATTATCAGACTACACTGCTGTGGAATCCTTGACTGTTGAAAGAGAGGTGCTTCATACCTTACAAGGGTGATAATAGAAGGAAATTTGGAGCCAGTGGAGAGTGCAAGGATTTAGGTATAAATGATAGGTGAATCCTAATTGGGACGATGAGCACCTTAATGTGTGGAGATGTATTCCTATCAGAACTCATCTTAAGAGCTTCTTTTAAATCTTCCTTCCTTCCTTTCCCCAAAAGCGTGAAGGCACAGTACAGTTTTATTTCATCTTCTTGAGTGTTTTTTGGGGGATGAACTTTTCACTGTCCTCCCATCAAATTACATATGTGACTCAAGGGAAAACAGGCAGCTTAGATTATGATATGATTATTCACCAGGGAAAACCTCAATTGAAATTATTGTTAGTTTTACTTTTTCTTTATTTTCTTCTTTATAGTGAGTCAAAAATGTTTCCCCTTAACTTCAAGTAGAAAACAAAACTTTATACAATAAAGTAGAGATGGCAGGTTTCACAAGGGTAAAAGGCTGCTGTCAACTTTTTTCCCCCTCAGGAATATGGAAATTTTGGCGGATTATCTGTCCAGAGGAGGTTTCCTTTATTAATTCTTTTTCCTTTTTCCACTTCAGACATCTGTTAATATTGCACACAGCCCAACAGATGTTGCAAAGCAAGCCCATACTTTGTTCTAAAAAAAAAAAATGACATTTCCTCAACTGGTTCCCCCTACCTGTGACTGGGCCTACCCTGCTACTTCTGCATAATTTGCATATATTAAATTATATACCTTAATGCCATACAAATCTGTAGCTTCAGCATTATTTTTATACAATAAAATCTAATTTGATCAACTAGTTTACATGTTGCTTTAGAGTTAAGAGTGGCTAAAACATTTTTAAAAATCTCTTTTGTGAATGACAGCCTAATTCCACATTAGGATTAGAGAGCCAGTTATTAAAAATTTTTCTATAAAATAAGTGAATCACAAAAGCTCGAGTTGTTTTGCCATTAGGAAGTGCTGATTGTCATGCGATGTGGAGCGTCATTTTTATTTTGGCAAGAACAGGGACAGTTTTGTCTTGACAAGCCATTAGATGAATACCAGTGTGTGTCACATGAAAAACCACTGATCTTTAACCCAGCTCTGTACTTAACCAAGCCTTGAAAATGAATAGTGAATAAAAGAAGAGCAAAGGCCAGTTTACTGTCATTACAGATTACAGAATCTGTTAACAGCTGCTGAACTGAACCCAGGGAATTACAGGTATTGTTCCACGAACCAGCAGAAGTCCTCGAGATGCCTGTTAAACTGTGTATATAAATTATACATTTATTTTATATTTGCTTAGGGTTTACATTATTGGAAGTGTAGCTAGAAAAAACATGAAAATTCTTGAGTACTTTCTCAGTGTGCTAAATACATGCCTTTATCACCAAACCTTATATTTACATATAACTATCCCAATGAGGTTTCCCTATCCCCAGTTATGGAATGTATTTTTAAAAAGAAATGTGCTTTTAAAGAAATTCATAAATATAATGAATAAGTACAAAAAATATGGAATATCTCCCCCACCCAAAACAAAAACAATACCACAAACATACACGCAAAACAAAATCCTTTGCTTATTTGTTCCTTCAGGTATTCATTGAGGCTGATATTTGAACCAACATGTCACTTTTTTTTTTTTAGTGAAGGGGAAAACCTAAACTCACCTCAATACCCAAATAATGAAAAGATCAGTAACATTTTAAACAGTCAGTTGTGGGAATTATTGCTTACAGAGCTAACAAGGAAGAACACACTCTTACTCTGCTGGTGGAATTGCATTGTGCCTCCCTATAGTCTTGTTATCCCACACAAACTGAAATGCAAATTCTTTGCAACTAATTGGATCTTATTGAGGGCACATGCACAGTATGTAGTTATATGCAGAAAGATTTTTAAAAAATTTCTCTGTAATTACAACTTTTAATTATTATCCAGAACATTGGCATCTATAGTATAAGTTTAGAATACACATGTCTAACTTTTTTTACAGATTACTCAACCTGTACTATGAAATGCTTTGTAAGGCATCAGCTCAAAAGTTAGGGGGAAATATTTATTTACAGCAATCTATAAATTGGATTTTATTGAAGTTCTGTGAAAATACATTTTAAATGTTAAACATCATAAACATTAGAAATCACTGTCAAAAAATTTTTTTTTCTTCAGCTCTCCAGTGCATTTTAACACAGTAAACTGCATGTGAGTTTTTTAATTTCTGTGTGTTTCTGCTATGTATTGTGATGAAGTGGTGGAGGTATTCACATTGCCATAGGGTCTTTAATAACCTGGGCGCCATTTAGACATAGTTGATGTACTCCTTAATTTCTATGGTACATCTCTCACTAAATGTGGGAAAGCCAACACACAGCCTTTAGTATTTGCAGTTCTTTAACCTGAAATACATAAAATCAGGGCAGCAAAAAAGCAATTACTATGGAAGTGACACCTGCCTCCACCCCCAACCCATTTTAAATAACTTTAATACAAATGATTCCATATAGTTTCATAATCTGCAGATTATAGAGCCAGTGGACAAACTCAGAAATCATTTTTGTGTCTTGTAGGTATATTTTGTTGTTGTGTCATGTTGTAAAAAGCTTGTTATGTTTGTAAACTAGTCATACAAACTAGTTAAATTTTTCTTTGATCAAATCCATTTAGCAGGTGCAGTGTCATATGATTATAGATTTGATGTGAAAAAATATTTTGAACATTGGAAAGATACCCCTGTGATTTTGAGGCTGTGCCTTGACAGTAATATGCAGGTACTAGTTACACTGCAGACCTGTTTCATCTAGAGCAACCTCAGACATTGATATCTGAAATAGCTCAGTTTGCCTATGCTAGATAGCATTTTGTCAGAAGACTGCTGGCGGAGCAGACTAGATTTGGATGTATTAGCTAGTCAGCCTAATAACCCTGTACAGACTGTATTGATTTTTTAGGAGAGAGTTTATGAACTAAATAAACTTGGGGTTGGTGTCTTAATAAACTGCTTCTCTCAGTCTGTCACATTTAGTTACGGAGCTGTGCAGTTTAGGGGGAAAAAAGGCTAATTCTGTTACAGATTGTTCACAGCAGGGTCTCCAAATTAGCCCTTTGTTTTGTAATGCCACCTTGCTTGGGCTCGCTTTGAGCACATTTCTCAGTTTTGCCCTAATGAGTTGCAACACTGATAATGTGGCTGATGATCTTTCATTGATTTCACTATCACTTGCTTGTCTGGTAATTGATCCGTTGCTGAGCCTCTAGTTAATTATATCGGCTTTGACATGGCCCGGTCCACGGGGAATTTCAAGTCTTGCAGAATAACAGTTTTAATAAAAGAGTCTATTACTGCAGGTGCTTGCTGCTGCATGCCAGTTGATTTTTGTGTTTGTGTGTGTGTGTGTGTGTGAGAGAGAGAGAGAGAGAGAGAG